GGGCGAAGTTTCGATGTAGTCAAAATGATGGTGAAGCACTTCTTTTCTGTTGTGGAATAATTGGCTTCCGCTTTCGATAGCGATCGGCTGGCGTAACTAATAACCCTTTTCAGTCCATCAGCCCTCTGCAAAAGAACGGCGCCGAGACCTACGCTGCTTGCGTCAGTGTGTATTTCTGTCTCGGCGAATTCGTCAAAATGGGCAAGTAACGGAGGCGTCTGGAGGCGATGTTTAAGCTCCTGGAAAGCGTGTTCCTGCGGCGATTCCCACTTGAACTCCACATCGGCCTTGGTATGGTTAGTGAGTGGATCGGCACGATCTTATCGAAATGATCTATTACAGTCCTGAAGCTTCTCGAAAACTGCAGGCGCGGTTTGCGCTGAGAATTGTGTAGTGTATCGGGGCAATAACAAAATGTGGCATTTTCATTTTGTAGCTGAACCCGGGTCTCTAGTAAAGCAGGGGCCCTCTCCTTGAGAGAAACGCTCGCGAACGTTTGCAGGAATGCACCGCAGAAGACATCCCACGTTTGAAGCCCAGACTCCCGATTTTCGAGCCAGGTCCTTGCGGTGTCTTCCTGGTAGAAGTACACACGACGGAGCTTTTCTTCAGTGTCTGAGTGGTTGAGGGGGGCCACGCGGTCGTATGTCTCTAGCCAGGTCTTTAGGTCTTCGAACGATGACCCACGGAAAGTTGGTGGTTCCCTGGGTTGATGCATAACAATCGCAAGCTGGGACGCTGCGATTGTCATTGTCGCCGCAGTAGAGGTCATTGCCTTGGTCTTCCGTGCCTTGTCTTGTAGAGGCCCGTGCTCTGGTGGTAGACCTTGCTGCCGGCGGCTTGTTCGCAGCTCCTGGTTAGCGTTTGTGTTTTCTACTGGACGTGGGCTGGCATTTTCCTCGTTTATGATGCGATGTTTAGTGATTGAGGTCTGCCGAATTTTCTGTGACGACGAAAAGCAATCTTCGTATTGCAGGAGCAGGGTCTTGAGCTGTTCTTGCTATGGTTCGGAAGGCTGGGATTGACGTCAAAAGCTGAGGGAGGGGCTTTGTTTTTGTTTCTTTGAGCAGGTTCTGCAGAATCGGCGAGGGCGAAAGGACTGGTGGCTTCCACAATTTCTTCGATGTATGCGACCGTCGTTCCTTTGTTCACATGTTTGTACTCACTGCTGAAATTCGAGAGCGTAACCATTGCTTTGCCTCCCCGCAGCTCTGCGATTCCTCATGCGACGCAAATATTGCAGGTGCTGGTGGAGGTGCTGCTTCGTTCATGTACGGGACGCCCCCGTCAAGCCTTGTACCCAGCACCTCCACCAGATGTCACGAGGTCGTGACGTGGTCGAAGGCAGGAGTTGGAATGGTCAGATCAAACTGTTTATTTGGGTGAACTTATGCCCGCTAAATGGAAAGTCGAGTTACGGTAGCACAATATTTTTGCCCAAATTTAAGAACTACCTTTGCACATCTTGAGTCGAAGAGGCGTCCATGTGACATGTGTTTATAGAATTTTATGGAAGACAAAATTTTGTCTATATGCTTGGTGAGAAACATTGATGGGATTTATTAGGGTCACGAAACTGAGTAGTGTGTGCTATTTGAATATAGCCTTTATAGTCTATAACTCTTTGTGGCTTCATGAATATTTTTCACATAAGAGAAATTATGCCTGTACTGTATAATACCTAAAGAGCCTGCTTAGAAGTAGTAGAAAGCAAGTTTCACCAAAATATGACCATTAGTATACGAAAAAAAAGTGGGATCACGTGTCTTATTGACCCTACAAAGTGTCTTTGAAAAAGTGGGACAAGACCTGTCCCGTTGTCTCACGAGGGCACAAAGCTGTAATACTTTTGCCAAATTTCTAGCACAAAAAAGGCCCAATGCAAGCGTTACAGAGGGACTCTTCAAAAACTCTGCAAAGAAAAACTTGTGGACTACCTTATTTCCAGTTGTGGTACACAATCTGCGCCTCTGCCGGTTTTGTTCAGCCGCGGTGGTCTAGTGGCTAAGGCACTCGGCTACTGACCCGCTGGTCGCGAGATTGAATCCCAGCTGTGGCCCTGCCTTTTCGATGCAGGTGAAAATGCTGTAGGCCCGTGTGCTCAGATTTGGGTGCATGTTAAAGAGCCCCAGGTGGTCGAAATTTCCAAAGCCCTCCACTGCGGCGTCTCTTCTAATCATATGGTGGTTTTGGGACGGTAATCCCCACATATCAATATCATGGTTGTGTTTAGCCCAGTGGCTCTGTCGGAGGTCTTCGCATACATCAATGGTATTAGCTGCTTTCTGTCTCTAGTTAGTTTAGTTAATGATGACCAACTGAGTTATGCCTGAATTTCTGCCCATATATAAAATTGTGGTCATGAATCATGGCAAAGCATATCTATGTGATGTCACTGAATGCATTGAATCCTGTAAGTGCATTTGCAACTGCTGCTACTGATTCGTGAACTTTATTCAGGCCAGAGATATGGGCTTTTCTCATAGGTCCTTGTGCATTTAAATGTCTTCTCTATCCCTTTCTGGCTGTATTGAGCGTTAATTTTGTCATTCTTTTCCTTTGGCCCTCAATGTGCAAAACAGCATTTTAGCTGCAGCTTTTAGTCTAATTGCCATTGCTTTCGTAGGGGTAAAAAAAGTAAAAAAGAACTTGAGGGCTTTATTCATAACCACGTGCTGTTTTGTATGTAATAACGCCTTGCTGACTTGCTAAAATAGCTGTGCATGCATGTTATGTAGTTAGGCTAAGTAAGGAATAGCTTAATCTTTTTTCAAGTGCACTTGCAACATGATTTTCGACTGACATACTGTTCAAATTTTCAAAGCAAATCCATTGTTGCACGCTAATATTACTTCTCTAAAGATCCCGAAAAGGAGAAAAATACCATAAATCTAGAACTTTAGCTACCTTGCACACAATGTGACACCACTTTTAAAAAAAGTTGAACAGCACGAAACGAATTTAAACTCAAGTTATCTTCTATACCATGCATCGCAAATGTGTCGCATAAATTTTTTTGGTTTCCTATTGAATTTTTTCTGATATTTTGTAGGGAAAGTTTATTGCTGATGGCAACACGAATCAGCGGAGAAAGTTTTTACTGAAGCAGGAAAAGTGGGACACATTCGTCCCATTATTCTTCGAAGGGTTAATGTGAAGAACTAAAGTGAATCGATGTGGAAAAGAAGGGAATGATGTTGGCCTGGTCTCTGAATGACTGAATATGTTCACCCTCTCTCTCACTTGTGACGCCCCGCCGCGGTGGTCTAGTGGCTAAGGTACTCGGCTGCTGACCCGCAGGGCGCGGGTTCGAATCCCGGCTGCGGCGGCTGCATTTCCGATGGAGGCGGAAATGTTGTAGGCCCGTGTGCTCAGATTTGGGTGCACGTTAAAGAACCCCAGGTGGTCTAAATTTCCGGAGCCCTCCACTACGGCGTCTCTCATAATCATATAGTGGTTTTGGGACGTTAAACCCCAGATATCAATCTCACTTGTGACGTTTTCTACCTTTGACATTTGTGTAGAAAATCTATGCTCACCTTTATTTGAGTGGTATACAAGAAAACTAAACTGATTGGGCTATGGAGCATATGGCACTGACCTTGCTTGTTTTGCTGTGGCCCCTTCAAGCAAATGAATAGCACGACAAAATCACGACAAGTTTGAACTTTCGTAGCATGAACACGAATAGGTTAGAGATTTATTAAGTATAGCTGTTAGTACAGTTAACACAAATGGTCCGACATGTGGGCTTTCCTCGCTTTAACTGACATCAGCGCCACCAAATGTTGGACGCGGTTTGTTTGTTGCAACTTATGATAAATGAAGCATTCGTTCATTTCTGTAGTAAATTTATGTTTCACTCTTGCCGGACTGGTGGGTCGAATGCACTCACTTGGCTGTCTCGTTTTTGCCAAGTTTCGGTCCTGGCTATGCTCTCGTCTTTTTGTCTGTGTGGAAGCTGTGATTCAAAGCTCTGAAGGTGCGGGAGATATCACACGCAAAGCCGAGATAAGCATATGACAAGCAACATAATAGGCGCATGTGAAAGCATAGTAGTTGCAACGAACATATCGTGTTCAACACTGGGTGGCACTGACGTCAGTCGAAGCGAGGAGAGGCCATGCGTCAGACAGTTTGTGTTAATCATGCTGAGAGCTGTACATCTTGTTTCTTGTGTGCCCTCTCATGACTACAGCATATGCAATATGCAAATACCGGTACCACACACGCACAAACTATGGTAGAGTCCGACTTAAGTATTGCATAGCAGAATTTCATAACTCCTTAAAAACCCATACTGATATTAGTGCCCCATTCCATGTGTTTAAATCAGGTGTTTATTTTATGCAGCCTTAATTATTTTTTCTTGATCAAAACTAAATAATCATCGTGTTCTGTGCGTCGTACATAAACCGGGTTCTGATGTTCATTGTTTATATAGGAATTTTTATATTTTCTTTGTGTTCTGAATTCTTTTTACAAGTGTACTTCTGTGTCAAAACCACTCTATGTGCTGCCTCTGTAGGCTCCCTCGAGCTGTTTTGCACAGCTTTTCTGCCTGGTTGATCCCCAACATGTGTGTTGGGAGTAAACTGCATTCTAATAAATGGCTTTGAGTCATTTCTCTGACAATGCCTTGATATATGCCACTGTGGGATGTGAAAGGCAGTTTCTATTCTAAAGAAAGAAACCTTAAGCAGGAGCATAGGAATATGCCCTCACATATGTCTGTGGGTATGTGCATGTCCATAGAAAAGTGATAAGGTTGAACACCAACTCTAGATATGCCACTCTAACAATGCACAGGTGTGTCCCAGATCTCTAATAAATTGGTGACTTTTCTCTCGTCATGATTACTTCTTCATTCACAAGCTAGTGGGCTTCACTAGGGACACAAGTGAGCTTTTTTTTTTTTGAGAGAGAAGTGCATCTAGTGTGCATTGCTTTTCAGCCCGGTGCCTTGTCATGGAGTGTGTGTGCTGTTCTCTCTGGTGCAGCTTCCGACGGTGGTGTGGGTACTCCTGGCCTTAGCACTTGTAGTGAGGCTTCCGACAGCGATAGAGAGCAGAAACCAAAGGTTGGGCAAAGTATTTTCATTTACACACCCTGACTAGTGACAGTCGAGTACAGACAGAGAAGTAGGTCACCTTGCTGCTCTTAAGAGACCTCTTTGTAACTAAGAGTTCACTTCATTCTTTGCGATTTCAGTTGCTGTCAGGCAACCAAAATTTGCATAGCCTTTCTTCATTATTGTATGCGCTTTCACTCTTCCCTTTCTGTTCACACATTTTAGGTACCAGTTAGATGGGCCTTTTTGCGTGGGGGGGGGGGGGGGGCGCCGCGGTGGTCTAGTGGCTAAGGTACTCGGTTGCTGACCCGCAGGTCACGGGTGCGAATCCCGGCTGCGGCGGCTGCATTTCTGATGGAGGCGGAAATGTTGTAGGCCCGTGTGCTCAGATTTGGGTGCACGTTAAAGAACCCAGGTGGTCAAAATTTCCGGAGCCCTCCACTACGGCATCTCTCATAATCATATGGTGGTTTTGGGACGTTAAACCCCACAAATCAATCATTTTTGCGAGGGGGAGGAGGAGCCAAACTTCATGAAAATTTTTAGCCTCATTTACTGCCAGGTTTTAGTGCCGACTGTATTAAAAATTGAATGCAGTGAATTGTCGTTCAGTGGTTATTTTACTTTTTATGCTACCTTTCAAGTTTTGAGTCTCAGTCTAATTATCTCTCACATTTTGGGTTTCAGTATGTAAAGAACAAATATTTGAAATGATGCGTGATCAGCCCAAGTTTGTATTTAGTTTGCCACAATGGATAATTTGCTGCTCAGTCAGTGTTCAGTAGACCGAGGCTCAGGTGCACCTTAAAAAAGAGTAGTAATTGGATAAGGGCCTACTGACATTAAGCATGTGTGCGGTCGTTATAGACTGCCCAGTTTATATGATGTAGAAGCACCCTCATGCAAGGTGGAATCTTTTAAATGATGCTGCTTGGGGGGGGGGGGGGGTCCACACACTGAGCAACTTCTTTTAGTGGTATGATGTTCACGGGATTGAAGAAAGGATAACCATTTGCTTGCTAATAAGCATCGTGTCCTTTGTTTTGTCTGGTTATTTAGTGGACTTTAGCCCAATGAGCCCAAATTCTGATACAAGCTGATTTCTTAAGAGAAAGTCGAATTTCATGTGCGGCTGGCTTCTTAGCTGTTTGCGAAGTCTGTTACACTTGCCCACTTCTTTTTTGTGAAACCATAATTAGTGGCTGTGCCATTCATGTTTTTCCCTGCTTTGTGCATGGTACAGCACTGAAAAAAGTATTTGTGTTTAAACTGCATTTAAGTGTTTTAGGGCATTGCAAGAGAGTGAAAGCGCTTAGCATATCACCCTTGGAAAGCGCTCAGTTGAACGTGTGGTGTTACATCACAACCATTGCTTTAACTAAGGACAGTTCAACCACTGAGGAGTGAACGATTGAACTGGCATTGAAAAAAAAAAAAAAACTAAAAGTAAAGGAAGGTTGCCTTGACAGAGTGTGGATTTACAAAGCTTATGGGGATGGTAAAAGTGAGCAAAAAGGGGCAAACATCGCAGAGTGCTTGCTAGCAGAGCCTTTCTTGTGTCACCTGAGTGGAAGATTCTGTGGAAATTGTGCCTGTTGCTCATCACAAGCTTACATGGTTCTTCCAAAACTCAGTATTTCATGGTACAAAAACCAAATGAGGAATAACTATCGATAGTAAGGAAATGCTAACTAGTAGGTTAGTACCCAGACATTATCACTGTAGAGTGGAAGAGACTGATCTCAATACGAAGAATATTAAAATGTATCAAGTCTTGAGTGTACAATTCTTGCAGTAACAAAGGCCACAAAGAATAATCTGAGTCTAGCAAGAATTTTACTAATTAGGCATCTCAATTATGATTAGGTCATAACTAATACCTTGTTAGAAATGCATTTCCAAGCATGCCATGAAAATGTAGCAGGACATTTCATTGGTCCTATCGTGGCAGTGTCTCCTTACACATGTGTTAGGTGAGGTCATGGGACGCCAAAAGATGCTAGCCGTACTTTGTATAACATTCCAATTTGTTGCCCTTGCTGTGGCATTTGACAGCCACGAAAGTCAGAGGTAGACATGATATGTGTATCAGGAAAGCTGAGCTGTAACGTGTTTTTCAATGTAGGCAATGACTAGCAATGCAAGTCGTTGTACTGGCTTGCATGTAGTGCAAGAAAGTTGGACAGCTTAGCTTCAATATCATGTGGCCAGGTCAGTATAGCTGCTTAGGTTGTTCATCGGTGCTTATTTATTTATTTATTTATTTATTTATTTATTTATTTATTTATGTTACTCTACAGGCCCCAGAGGAGGGAGCATTGAGTAGGGGGGGGTTACAGAAAAATCACAATACATAAAGCATAAAAAGAAATATATCGAAGAAAACAAAGAAAATTGTACAATGGAAGGGAGAAGAACAAACACTATAAGCAAATGCAGCAAAATACAAAATGGAAAAAAATAAAGCGCCTTTATACAAAATCAAGAGAACATATAAATTTGCAGTAGCCCACGAAATTTGGCCGGATCTCTCAAAGAAACAATTTCATCCGGAAGGCTATTCCAAACTGCGATGGCGCGTGGCAATGCAGAATTATTGAATGACTGTGTGTTGCCGAAGATGCGTCTGAAACTGAGATGATTATGAAGTCGACTAGATGTACCCGAAGGAATGTCAAGGAATTTTTCCGCTGTGGTGCTGCTCTTTTTCATTACAGGAACAGCCACAGGGCAGCAACTTGGCTGACAATGGTGAGTGTTGTGCATGCATTGCATGCACATGCGATTGTGCAGTGTTACGTTAAAGGACAATGCATTGCACAAGTTATGTGTCTGTTGCATTGCAGATAGCAGCCGACACAAAAGCAGCCCACCAAGAAGGTCGGTGTCCACGAATGCTGACGATGAAGAGATTTCACACAAGCTGCAGGTCATCAAGAGGGCAAGTTGTTTCTTGTTGTGTCTGTAGCACATCACTGATAGAAGGAGATAAAATTGCACAAGGGGCATTCATGGAAGGGAAAACTGTTGTGGTCATCTACTGTGTTTTCCAGCGCATATGTACCATATTTGTGTAAGACACATTTGAAAGAACCTTCTTGTTGCATTCTATTCGATGTTGAGTTTTTCTGTGGTGGACCTGACCAATGCCCCATATGCCTTTCTTGTCCATCACTTTATCCTATGTGCACTGGAAACCTTTGATTTGCCCTGCCTCGCAACTGTGGCCGCTTTTTTCTCTTGCATGGAAGCAGTACTACTGAAGCTCATTTGATATCCCACATCATCAGCAGCCCAGGTTTCGATAGAGGTTGGTGATTGTGGTCGTGGCTCATTGCTGCTAATTGCAGTGATGGAAGTGCTGCTCCAAAAACAAAATGCTGCTCCACACTGATTTTTGTCAGTAGTAACTGTTACGAAAGGGAAAACAGTGAATGTGAATGTGACCATCCAGCGAGCCTAAACCAAGACAAAAACCGACTGTATTCTAGCATATTGACAATATTGAAAATGCTACATGCACTAATATATATCCTGTATACCAACCCCTTATGTGGCAAATGTTTTTTATATCCTGTACATCCACCCCTTATGTAATACCCCCTTGTGGGGTTTTTAAGGAAATAAAATATGATGATGATGATGATGATATTATGTATATATATATATCTTTATAGGGAAGAAGACGCACGTACGAAGTGATTTTATTGATGTTTTGGCCGCGGGTCTGGCCTTCATCAGAATACAGTTTATGGCACGAGTGCTGATTATATACATGTGCATATCAATAAGATACAAATATGAAAACAGGCATGAAAGGCGGTATATGGGCATATATATATGCAAGTCACACAATATGAAGGGCACCTAATATACGAGTAAAAAGATATTGCTTCCATGTGCGAGCACGTGGCGAGCACGTTGTTTACAAATAAAAGATAAAACGCATAAAAGATAAAGCACATAACATGAAGAGTAGTCCGACCGGTAAAAGCAAGAGAAAAAAAGAAAAAAAAAACTAGAATACTAATAAAAAATGACAAAGACGTTACAAAGCTGCTACGTAATCAACGAATACAGACAATGTAGTGCGACTTGCTGAGCAAGGTTGAAAAAAGATGGACAGGGAAAAAAGAGGACAGAGGATAGGTTACGCAGATAGGCAACTAAGTTTTCCTACGTTTTCGTTCGGATCAGATGCGATGGCGTCGAACTTATATATGAGGAATGATTTACGGGCTTCTCTATTATAATTTGTGCGGAAACCAGATTCTAGTAATGTGACCTGTAGATTTTCAAAAGAGTGGCCAGGGAGGTGCACGTGTCTTGAAATGGGCAAGTGGGGTAAGGTGTTAGCATGAGATTTATGGTTGTTAAAACGCAGTCTAAAAGGCCCTTCTGTTTGACCAATGTACTGTATTTCACATAGCGCACATTCTATCATGTATATCACGTTCTTAGAATCGCAGTCAAGATTGCCTTTGATTTGAAACAGGCTTCGAAAGCGGCAACCAAAAGGGGCGTGGCTGCGTATCTTCCGCGGCCCTCCGGAGATAACGTGAGGTATGTTGGCCGCGTCTGCACCGTGCGCCTCGGCATACGAATTGGTATGCGCACACAAATAAAATTATCGCGATCACCGGCGTCATCGCCCGCTACAAGGGGTCCCCCCTAGACCCCTTGTAGCAGGCGATGACGCCGGTGATCGCGATAAAAAAAAAAAGAGCAAATGTGCGAGTTAGTCCATGAGGTGAGCCGGTTTCATGCAATCGAGAGAAACGACGTCCTCTCTGTCGCGAACACGAATGGTCACAGTTTTGTGCGACCGCGAAAGCACACGGAAGAGCCCGTCGTAGGCTGGAGTCAACGGCGCTTTCACTGTGTCACGTCGCACGAACACATGGGTTGCCTCATTCATGTCTGGGAAAGAAAACGCTCTTTGGTTGCGGCTGACGCGTGGCGCGCTGGGTTTCAGGTGCTCCAACCAGGAATGTAGCCTTTCCATATGTTCTGAAGGCGTCGGCGTAGAGCTTGGTTTCTCACTGAAGAATTCTCCTGGTAGTCGGATTGTAGAGCTGTACAGCATTTCTGCTGCACAGTATCCGCGGTCTTCTATTATTGCCGTACGCAGGCCCAGAAGAACGAGAGGGAGCTTCTCCACCCAGTGCTCTCTATCCAATTTGGCCGTTAAAAATGCCTTCAGTTGACGGTGTACCCGCTCCACCATTCTATTGCTCACTGGATGGTAAGCCGTGGTGTACTGGAGCCGTGTTCCCAGAAGCCTTGCCAGTGCAGAGAATAGGTTGCTCTGGAATTGTCGTCCACGATCGGTCGTTATGCGCAGTGGGCAGCCATAGCGTGAAACCCATGTGGCCACAAACGCCTGTGCGACGGTCCCGGCTGCGATGTCCAGAATCGGCATCGCCTCGGGCCACCGTGAGTAGCGCTCTGCACAAGTGAGCAGGTATCTGTAACCCTGGGAAGGAGGAAGAGGTCCCACCAAGTCCAAGTGCACGTGGTCGAAACGACACTCTGGTGGCCGAAATGCTTGGAGTGCTTTGCGCGTGTGACGAGTCACCTTGACCGCTTGACATGTTCGGCACGTCTTCGCCCAGAGTCGAACGTCGGCGTAATTCCGGGCCACACAAATTGGTCAGTGACGAGCCTCTGCGTCGCGTGGATTCCTGGGTGGCTGAGGTTGTGAAGGCTGTCAAAACACTGCACGCCGAAACTGGACGGGGACGAAGCGTCTTGGAGATTTCTGCGATGTGTCGCATGTGACCATAGTTGTTGTGTATGGTAGCGGGATCTCTTCGAGCACCAGTGACAGTGGATTCTGCCTCATCTCGGTTAGCTCTGGGTCTTCCCGCTGGGCGGCGGCTAATGTCTCAAAGTCGATGGACGCTGAAACGGTGTCGATACGGGAGAGTGCGTCGGCTGCTTGGTTTTCGCTCTCCGCTATGTGGAGGATGTCCGTGGAAAATTCTGAAATGAAAGAAAGTTGGCGCAGTTCTCTTTCCGAATATGAGGAACTGTTGTTCTTAAACGCATACGTCAGCGGCTTGTGGTCCGTTAAAATGTGGAAAATGCGGCCTTCTAGGAAGAAACGGAAATGCTTTACGGAGGAATAAATGGCCAGCATCTCTCTTCCAAAGGTGCTGTAGCGCACTTCCGCCTGTTTCAGACGTTTAGAAAAGAAACCTATCGGTTTCCAGTCCTTGCCGTCGTATTGTTGCAACACTGCTCTCACTGCTGTCGTTGAAGCGTCAACCATGAGCCGCGTTGGCGCGCCGGAAAGCAGGTGCATCAGAAGTGTTGCGGAGGCAAGCTGAGTTTTCGCGTCCTGGAAGGCTTTTTCGTGCTCCGCTGACCAGTGAAACTACGGCGTTTTCTTGCCGTCCCGGCGCAGCAAGTCAGTTAGCGGCTGTAGAATGTGTACACAGGATGAGATGAAGCGCCTATGGAAGTTGATTAGCCCAAGAAACTCGCGCAACTTGCGGAAAGAGGTAGGCGTGAGGAATTCCCTGACTGCTTGCACCCGTGATTCGAGCGGCAAGATGCCTTGTGGGGTGATTCGATGACCTAGGAAATCTAGGGCTTTAACACCAAAGATGCACTTTTGGGGCTTCAAAACCAGACCGTGCTCCTGCGTTTTGCTGGCGACCAAAATGTCGTCTAAGTAGACAAAACAAAGAGCAGTCCGCGAGTGACCTCATTCATGAAACGCTGGAAAGTTTGTGCCGCATTCTCCAGTCTGTACGGCATACGAACAAATTCAAAGATGCCGAAAGGCGTTGTCAAGACCGTCTTTGGGATATCGCTTGGTTCTGCTGGAATCTTGTGATAAGTGGCCATCAGATCCAGCTTAGAGAAGATGGTCATTCCCGCGAGGCGAGCGCTGAAATCATGGATGTGGGGGAGAGGATATTGGTCTGCCGTTGACACAGCATTGAGTGCCCGATAATCACCACAAGGCCGCCAGTCACCAGACTCTTGTTTTGGCACCATGTGCAGCGCGGAAGACCAGTTGCTGGAAGAAGGTCGAATAATGCCGAGTTGGAGCATGTGGTCGAACTCACGGCGGGCGACTTCGTGTCTTTGTCCAGCGAGTCTCCTAGGTCTAGCAGTGACGGGCGGTCCAGTGGTGACAATGTGATGCGTCACCTTGTGTTTGATTGGCAGTTCGGTGTTCCGAGGTCTGGTGATTTCAGGGAATTCGGCCAGAATCTTTTGCAAGTTTGATTCTGGTCAGACTTCGGTCCGATAACAGCGAGTGAAGTGACGTTATCCTTGAGACGACGATCGCGAACGCTGACGTCAAGATTGAAGTGGCTCAGAAAGTCCGCTCCCAGGATGGCAATTCTGACGTCGGCCACAACGAAGAGCCATCGATATGTACGCCCGAGTCCGATGTCTATCGTCATTGACTGGACTCCATATGCTACAATAGCAGTATTATTGACTGCAATTAGGCTCGAAATGGACTTGCCGCTGCGGCGATGTTGAGCTGCTGCTGGTAGGATAGGTAGCTCCGCTCCGGTTTCGACAAAGAGGCGTGTGCCGGTGATGCGGTCGAAAAGGAAGAAGAGGCGGCTTGAACGATGGACGTGTCGCTTTCCGCCGTCCACGAGCATGGATGGGTGCAGCGAGTGGCTTGCTCTCTAAAACGACGGTGGTACCAGCAGATGTTCTGCTCTGTCTCGCTTGAGTGTCTGTGGGGCTGCGGGCTTCGAGCGCGAGACGACGAACGATGCCGTGCAGGCCAGTGTTTGTTGGACAGGGCGAGGTTTTCAACTGCTGCAGCCAGTCTGTCCTCTAAGCGACCTAACCGGTCTGCATGTTCGGGCCTTCCCGTTGAAGCAATAGACTTTTTTGGTGGCTCAGTGCAGTCGGTGATGCGGTCGGCGAGTTGAGCCAGACGTTCGAAAGTCACGTCATCTG